GGCGTGGTAGCGCACGCCTGTAATTCCAGCTACTGGGAAGGCTGAGGCGGAAGGATCGCCGGAGTCCAGCAGGTCGAGGCTGCGGTGGCCGAGAGCGGCCACTTCACTCCAGTCTGGGCAACAGAGAGAGACTCCAACTCAAAAAAAAAAAAAAAAAAATCATACTTTTCCCAGCCCGTCTCGCTGTACACTGAGGGCTTAAAGTGAATTACTTAAGTCTGAAAGTGAGCAGCTAAAGTTAGACTATGAAGAGGGAGCAGACCCCCGGGTAACTTGGGGCATTTTCATCACTTCGGCTGCCAGGTCAGCGAAACACAACCGCAGCAGGCTGCGGGGCGATCCCAAATCTACTCATCGCTGACCGGCTGCCTCTGCTGGCCAGGCCTCAGTCACCATCCAGGAGCGTCTCTGGCTCTGGCACCAGACAGTGAATAAGCAGGGAACGGGGAAGTGGGGAGTGAGGCGGGAGGACTTCCTGGTGACATCAGTGGCTTTAATCGGGCATGAGAGCGGGCTGGGAACGCAGATGGACCTGACCACACTGCTCAGCCCCACAGGGGCCCCCACCTTCCCTCAGAGGGATGGGATCCATGGTGAACATGCCCAACACGGAGGGCTGCACACACTTGGGAGACAGACTCTGGGGACAGAGGCATGACACGAGCAGCCCTCCCAAAGGGAGCCAGGCAGCCTGATGACAAAAACACGGACTCAGCCAGGCACGAGTCATCCCAGCACCTGGAGAGGCGGAGGCAGAAGGTCACTTGGGGCCAGGAGATCAAGACCAGCCCGGGCAACACAGCCAGACCTCATCTCGACATCTTTCAAACATAGTAAAAAAAAAAAAAAACAGGCTCACGAGAGAGAAAGTCCTAGGTTCACACGTCTGGCTGTGGCACGCTGCCACTCTGCAGGGATGCCACTCTCCAGGCCTCCGTCGTCCAAGGAGCTGAGGCGAGCACGGGCTGCGTGGGGGGGGGGGGCAGGGTGGGAAGCCCCGGGCCTGACTGCCGGCTCCTGCCCTGGCCTGCAGCTTCTGCTCAAGGGGCGGGTCCGGCCCGCAGCAGGGCACAGGAAGACTTCCTGCGGGGGAGCCTTGCTTCCCGCCCGTCTCAACAAACCCGCGCAAGTCGCCACACGGAGCAGGCTCCACGCGGGGTGCCCGGGGCGGCCTGGGTACCTCCTCTGGAGAGTGCCTCATCCCCGTGGCTTCCCGGCCAGCACACAGGTGTGGCCGCACTGCTTGCAGCCTTCAGCACTGCTGCGCAGGGGCGGGCCAAAGTCTCGAGGACGGGCTGGGCCTCGTCTGCGTCCCTGGCGGGCGGAGGATCGCACCCGGCACGGCGCAAGCCCACAGGGCTGCACAGAGGGCGCTGGGTCTCAGGTTCCAGGCCGGGAGCTGGGCCTCAGCACACCCTAAGCGCACACGGCTGCGGGTCCTGCAAGGCCCCGAGTGCACGAGGCCTGTGGAGACGCGGGAGACCTGAGTGGGGGTTGCTGTCGGGCCAAAGCCCGAGGGTCGCCGCACCCGGCCGCCCCGGAGTCTGAGGCAGTGCGCCCTGAAGCAGCTGCGCAGCAATCCCGGCTCTGGGTCCTGACCCCGGCACCCACGGCAGTGGCCAGCACTCGCTCTGTGCTCCAGCAAGAGCTTCTCCCAAGTGCTGTGCTCCCCCACCGCCGAGACCCTGTGGGTCCAGACCCAGAACGGGATTCCTTGACACTTCCTGAGATGCTGTGAGTTGATGTTACTGTACCTACTTGACAGATGAGGAGACTGAGGGTAAGCGTCAGGCGGCTCCGGGCAAGCCTGCAGTTCTGTGAACGATTCAGTTCTATGCCACTCAATCTCATCCCATAAGCTCTCAAACGGGACAGTTAAAGACAGGCCCCGTTCTTAAACAAAAGAGCAAAAGAGGTGACTGCAGTGAAGTGGGGAACCTCTTACTAACACATGAAAATCCGAAGGCAGCCTATTTGGAAAATGACACCTGCTCCCAAGGGATTCTTCCAGGAAACGATTCCAGCACCTGTTTCCAGAGCTCCAGTCCCAGCAGTGCGACTGGGGCTCAAGCCGTGAGCGGGGCCCTTCCCCCAGGCCAGAGCAAGCTCAGAGGCACAAACCAGCGAAGCACAGGAGAGCAGGCCAGGGAGGAGAGGCGAGGCTTCCCAACTCCACCTGCCATGGGCACCTTTAAACCAGGGGAGCTGGGCTTGGCGGTGGCTCGGCCTGTCATCCCGGCACTTTGGGAGGCCGAGGCGAGTGGACGGCCTGAGCCCGCGGGTTCGAGACCTGCCTGGGAAACTTGGCGCGACCTCATCTCTACAAGAAATCAAGCCGGGCGTGGTGGCGCGTGCCTGTAGTTCCGGCTCCTTGGAAGGTTGAGGCGGCAGGATTGCCGGCGCCCAGCATGTCGAAGCTGCGGTGGCTAGGGGTGTGCCACTGCACACCAGTCTGGGCGAAAGAGTGAGACTCCAACTCAAAAAAAAAGACACCACCAAAAACAAGCAAACAAACAAGGGGAGCCCAGAACTGCTCAGCACCCGACTGTGCATCATGGAAATGACACCACTTGCTGCGTCAGAAACCGCTGGGCTCCGAGTGGCGACTTGCTGCTGACGCTCCTGGTCCCTGGGGCCCTGTCCAGCTGCGCTCGGGCTCCACGGCCGCCATTCCCTTACCCCGTGTCCTATGTCTCCGACTGCTTTGCTAGGGTTCCCCCAGATGGACCCTTTCACTGGCCAACGTGATGCCTTCCCATGGCTGACATGAGGCTGCGTCAGGGGCCGGCACTGCAGTGGCAGGCCAAGCTGTACTCTGGCCTCATGGAGCCGGGGAGCAGGCTGTGGTCCCGTCTGGCCAGCGACACCTAGTCCCAGAGCTGCGTCTGGAATGATGGGTGAGTGGCTGACTCCTGCAGATCTCCAAGGGCTTTACCTACCTCTTGGTTACATTTCAAGTATGCCAACAAGGCAAATGCAACTGTCACCACGAACTTACGGATCCCACCGCTTCACACCCTCTATGACCAACCTTCAAACGGCCTTCCTGTCCTTCCCGCCCACAGCACCTTCTGTTCCCCCTGACACGCAGGGACAGCTAGAGCGTCCACTCCTGGCCGAGCGGAGCAGGTACCGAACACGAGGCGGCTCCTGGCTAGCAGCCTCCTCTCGCCCGTCTCTGAAACCCTCCTCACTGTTCCAGGTCCAGCAAAAACATCACCTCCAGGACTTCTTCCTCTCAGCCGTAACCTAACTATTATTAAGCTATGAGAATGACAGAACACCACCTTTTCTAGATGACAAGTGTTACTCGAGTGCTTTCAAATATGTACAATTCAAAAAAGGGCAAAGGAGGCAGATCATTCAGAAAGTCCCTCTGACGGTGACGCCTGTTCCGGGAGCCATGTCCCGCCTGGGACGTGTGAGAAATGCACTCCAGATCAATCCTGCCCCTTCCAGCTCCGACTCTAGGGGATGTCACACACTTCGAGGAAGAAGAGCTGCGGAGTGCAGCTAGCCAGGAATGCCTACTCGGAGCAGTCATGTTAACAGTGCTTTGCTTTTTAAAGAATGGACAAGGGAAACAGGCAGTAGACATGGAAGTCCAGAAACCGACAGGTTCACTAGAGAAACAGGACATTTCAACTGTAAGCCAGAAACTCAAAACTGATAAACATGTACAAAGGATAGTCTACGTTTTGCAACCACTAGGTTGCAAAGCCATTATTCTTCCAGGATAAATAGGGTGAACTACTTGACAGCACGACCTATCTCTAGGTCCACGCCCAGGAAGGTGTGGCGGGGAATTCCAACTCCAGGTCTGGCCCAGCACGGCACCGTTCTGGGCAATGGAGAAGCAGGCTGCACATCAAGGGGCTGTTATCAGAGGTCTCCTGAGAGCCGGTCACGCCTGCAATTCCATTCCTGCAGCACAGCTGTGATCAGACAGAGCACAAGAAATGCCACACTGAGGCCATATCAGGCCGGCTGGCTCAGGATTCTGTGATTGCAGAGAGGGAGCCAGGGTCCCCTGTGGTCATGGGGAGCGGCAGACATGCAGACGTACGTTACAGATTCAGCCAAACTCCCAGTAAAATAAAATACAATTGCTCACTGATCGGCTGTCTGTGAATTTACTGAAACCCTCTGTCAAGCCTAGTAACTAACTGTGCGAAAGGTCTTCCCCGTCCTTCGTGACTGGCAGTTACGCGTGTGGGCATCAAGGGGGATCTCTGAGTGCCGCAGCTCACCTTTGTTTTCTTTGGGCTATCTTTCAGCAGCACACACTCAGACAGACCCTGCTGTCCAGCAATGACAGTGCAACCCCATTCTTCTTCGAAATCTGCAGGTGTGGATGGAGCTTGGCCAGCTCCTCCCTGACAGACTCCCAACTCTTCCCTCAGGTTCTGTGCTTTCAGAAAGCCAGCTCCGGGGTCCACAGTACTCAGGGGGCGTGTGATTAGAGGAGATGCCACATGCGCCTCTAGCGGGAAGCCTGCCTCTGCCCACGCCCGCTAGCAAGGGCCCCACCTGCGCCCGGCCACTCACCAAGCCTTTTTCTTCCGCTTGTGCCGGGCCTGGATCATGCGCAGAATGGCCTCCTCCTCGTAGGTGTGGCCGCACACTTTATTCCTCACCGGCTTCTTCATTTCCAGCTAATCAGGGAGAAGGCAGGCTTCAGGAAGGGACCGAGCCGAGGAAATGCGGGACACCGGGGACACTGCGTCTCTTGGCCCACAGGCCGCGACCTCACCCCACGTCCCTATGGGCATGACTGACCAACAGCCCTTTCTAGCCCAGGATCCCGTGTCCACGCGCCAAACCCTGTCACTCCGCCCTCCTCCTCCCCGGACTCCCGAAGGCAGGTCGAGCCTCTCTGCCCCTAGGAAGTTCCTGCGCCCTGCGTGACGAGGGGGAAGCGGTAGTACCTGGGTGATGGGACAGACAAGGTTCATCTGGCTTTGGGTCACAATCATGTCTTCATCCACTCCAGGTGCATCAGCCTCTCTGTCAGCTGGAAGACCACCTGGAAGCAGAGGGAGCGTGCTGAGTCGCCCAGGGTCACCAGCACTCCAGGACGGAAGGCGAGGGAGGGGAGGCAGGTGAGCAGCTCTGCAGGTCTGTGTCAGCCCTGAGCTTGGCCCCGGGTGCACATGAACTCTGCTGCTCCTACGAGAACGCTGCAGGGTACCTGTTTCTGCCCATTTTTGATAAGGAAACTGAGGCACAGCGAAGCCACACACACATACACACACACACACACACACACAATTCCATTCCTGCAGCACAGCTGCATAAAACAACAACCACCTTTCAAAATGACAGAAATTCACAGGTGAGGGAGTAGTGTTCCTTCTGGCCAGTGGCTCAGGGTGTGGCCCGAGTTGGGGACAGACCTGGTTCTTCCTCATCCAGCTGTGAGACGCTGGACTAGCAAGGTGACCCTCTCAAAAGCCTCTACTTCATATCCCTGTGGTACCAAGATGAAAAGAGCTAAGGGGTGTGGTGTGCTTTACACAGCTCATGACATTAAGACTGAGCAATTTAAGAAATGCATTTATTAATTCATTTAAAAATAAGAATCCTGTTAATGTTAACATAAACCACATTTTAAACATTAAAGTATCCTTTCCAGCTGCTTTGGGGGCAAAGAAAAAAATGAAAAGTAATTCTATTTTCCAGAGCCCAAAGCAAAACACAAAACAAAAACACTGAGAAGAGTAACACTGTTTTACATTTTGTCAACACCTTTAATGTTGGCCTCATAGCAGATGGAGGGATCTCGATATCTGTGAAAGCTTCAACCTGTCCTGGGGCCTCTGGGGAAATTTACTCATGAAGAGGATGAGGAAGAAAAGGCCCAGGAGACCAGACTACTCTGACGAGAACAGTTTTTACCTCGCGGACACCCGAAAGGCTCTGGAGAAGCCAGGGTTTGCACCCACACTTTGAGAACTGCTGAGAGACAGCGGCAGGGCTGCTCTGAACACAGCCCCGCCTTCTTGAGAAAGCGTGTTCCTCTCATCAAACCCCACCTGCCCCTGGCTGAGGAAAACACAGAAGACAAACAGCGGCGCAACGGGATGCTGGCGGGTCCCACATGAAGGCCTCTCGGGAGAGGGACACTTGTCGTTCTGAACGGAAGCCCCAGCCCCAGCTTCCTGCACACAGTGTGAGCAGGGCGGTCCTTCCTCCCTCCGCCCTCCGCCCCTTCCCCTCCCCCTCTTCAGTTTTGGCAAAATAATGCAGCCAGAATCGCGCTTTCCTTCCGATGTGGGAGAGGAACCCTCGTCTGGCCCGGACGGCTTTGTGCGTCGTTTAGTCCACAGAACTGATGGCTGGGGCCTCGTCTAGGCCGGATGGCGTGTCCGTTAGGTTTCTGATGTTTTAGGATTTTGGGATCTTGGCATATACATAACGAGACATCTTGGGGATGGGATCCAAGTCTAGACATGAATTAATCTATCTTTCACATATGCTTACACACATGGCCTGAAGGTAATTTCATACAGTGATTTTACTACTTTTGTGCACGTATCATGGAAGGTCGGGAGAACGGTTTACTGCCTGTGGTCTCATATCAGACTCACGAAGTTCTGGATTCTGAGGCCTTTTGGGTTTCAGAGTTTCGGATCAGGGATGCTCAACCTGCACTGGTGGGAGAAAAAGGGCCACAGGACTCCTGTCCAAAACCACCCGGCAGCATCACGGCTGGAACCCAGGGATTCTGCCTCCAGCTACTTTGTTTCAGGGGTTTTTACCTTCTTCCAGTAGACTACTCGGGCTGTTTGTATGCCAGCACGCTGGCCCTCAAACCAGCTCTTCTCCTTTGAGGAAGGCAAGACTGTTGACCTCAGGGCTTGGGCCTGGCCCATCAGAGCATTTTCAGCCACTGGGCACTTCAGTCCAGCGCCTTGGACCCTCGGCATTTCAGGGACCCACAAAAATATTCAAGACCTTGCAAACCATTTCTGGGCTTCAAAACAGGATAACTATACATTGAAAGTACAAGACATCAAAGGTCTAAACAAATGCCAAGTTAAATTAACTTCATCAATTGCTGATTTGGTAGTCAAAAATATTTCATTTGAAAGCAATATGTAGACTGGGTTTACTTCTAACTAATTTCCAATAAAAACTGCCAAGCATGCTGAGATAATCGCTGAGGAACTAACAGCCAATGATAAACCAAATCAGTTACTTGTCGTGGACTTATTTACAAAGCAAAACCATAACATCATTTTCCAAGAGTTCTGTCAGTAATGAAATGAGACGTCACACAGAGGGTGCCGTGTGCCGTGCGACGGCATGCTGGACGTCCTGGAGGGTGGGGTCTCGGTCGTCCCGCAGCTCGCCCTTGGCCTTCTCCGCTCGGGAGTCACAGTCCTCAGTGAGTCCCTCCTGAGCCACTGTCTCCGAACCCTGTTTGGCCAGCTGGGCAGGGGGCGGGGGGGGGGAGGCCCAGGAGAGGGCCTGGCCACTGCCTCCGTGTGTGCTTTCCAAAGCCCCCTCCTGGGTGGCTGCCTCCCATTTCGGACTGTGTGTCTGACCACCAAAATCAAGTAGCTCTGACAGTTTCTCACAGTTTATTCTGAACCGATGGCAGAATAAACCATGGATTCAGAATAAACCTGTAGACATGAGACTGTGGAATTCACCAGAAAACCGTCAGATGATATCAGAGGTCAGCCCGTGTGGAAGACTGAGGGTCTGCTTGCTGTTTTCTATTTCTACATCCCACGAGGTAGAGGAAGCAGGAAAGTGCAACTCAGAGGCAATGCCGCCCACCAGGGGAGGCGAGCGGGGGACTTTGTGATGGTGGGCGGCTGCCAGCATCTGTGATCATGGAAGAAGGTAGCAAGAGTGAGACTGAGAAGCACGCCCGGGTGAGTAAGCGCCGTGGCCAGAGGCTGACTGGAGAAAGAGGCTCAGGACTCCAGCGACACAGTGTTTCCTCACCCAGGACTGTATTTATAGAAGCTGACATGAGTGCTGGGATTCTCCAGTGTGCTCACAAAGGTCATACCAGGCAGTAAAACACCACTCACACGGACTCAGCTGACCCAGAGACAAGACTTTCAATAAGCTTGGTAAGAGGAAGAATGGAGAGCGAGTACAGATCATCTCCTGAAATCACAGAGGTTTTAAAATGGTTACCTACCTCAAGTCTCCCATTACCCGAGAAAACTGACATCCAGAGAAATGGCTTCGTCTAATGTCATGCAGGAACTTAGAAAGTCTGTGTTGTTCTAAGTCTTCGGACTGCTCATTTGAATACTAAAATCAGCATATGGCTTTGGGGGATCCTCCTGCTCCCGAATTATTATTCCATTAATACAAACAAGACTTAGTTTACTGAATGCTACATAGCAGCCACTGTGCTAAGCATTTCATATGCATTATTTCATTTCACCTTCACAAGACACCCACGGAGAATGACTATACTGTTAGTCCTATTGTATAGATAAGAAAACCTGAGCCGGGTGCGGTGGCTCATGCCTTTCATCCCAGTCCTTTGGGAGGCCAAGCCGAGAGGACTGCCTGAGGCCAGGGCTTTGAGACCAGCCTGGGCCACTTGGCGAGACCTCATCTCTACAGTAAATTAAAAAATAAGCTGGGTATGGTGGTGCATGCCTGTGGTTCCAGCTACTTGGAAGGTTGAGCTACTTGGATCGCCTGAGTCCCGCAGGTTGAGGCTGCGGTGGCCGTGAGTGTGCCACTGCATTCCACACTGGGTGACAGGGTGAGACTCTAACAACAAACAAACAAACAAACAAACAAACAAAACTTGGCCAGGTATGGTGGCTCATGCACTTTGGGAGGCCAAGGCAGAAGGACTGCTTGAGCCCAGGAGTTTGAGGCCAGCCTGGGCAACATAGCAAGACCTCATCTCTATAAAGAAAAAGAAAACCTGAGCCTCCAACATTTTAAAGGTGAATGTAGAAAATATCCACCTTATAAAGAAACAATTGGATTAAATCAGTTTAATCTTTATCAAGGAGATCACAAAATCTTTTCTGACTATACATAAAAAGTCCAGCAAGCAAGTCATGTTCTCTTCCAGCTGCATTCATGAGGTGTGTTGCTAGAAGAACAAGCCTGCTGTCAACTCTGCCCAGTGGGCAGGGCTCAGACCCACACTTCACACCCAGATCCAGATGAGGGGGCGGAGGGTGGGGAGGGAGGCAGCAGGAAGGAGGAGGGGCCGGACCAGAACCAGCACCGACAGCCCCACGCAGGATGCGGGAGGGCACTGCGAGAGCGGCTCAGGAGTGTTTTCTGCTGTTCGCTCTTGGCGTCATAAGATGAACGCCCGAGGGAAAGAGAAGTCACGGAAATGCTTGGAGTGGCATTTCCAAAGGTCGAGAGGATGTCCCAGTGCTGTCAACCTGGGGGTGGCAAGGCATGACTGGATCCCAGGCCGTGGCGCCCGGCCGGCCGGTGGACGTTAGTGAGGAGCCGGGCCCTGCCTTGAGCCCTTCTCACTGCTACCACCCCGCCCCCTCCCCGCAGCTGTCCAAAGCTGAGCCGACCCTCCTCGCTGTCACCGCCCCCTTCCCCCCCCCTGCTCAATGCTGACCGGGGACCATCCTTGGTGATCCCCTCTCTTCCCTCCTGTCCAACCCACGGACGGGTTCTGTCGACTCTGGCTCTCAACCGCACTCCAGTCCAGCGCCCTCTCTCACTCTTTCCTACAGACCTTCGTCCCAACCACAATCGCCTCTCCCAGCCCTCTGCAGGTGCCTGGACGCTTGGACGAGGGCCGCGCCCCCACGCCCGCCTCCTGCAGTGGCTACGGGGCCCCACGCGGCAGCAGCCCTGACAGCCTCTCCGAATGGTGTCCCTGTCACCTGCTGTGCTCAAGACACACTGGCCTTTTCTCTGTTTCTGGGACGTGCCAAGCTCCCCTGTCTTTGGGCCTTTTCACTGACCTGCCTGGAATGTTCTTCCTCCTGCTCTTGCCTGTCTGATTCCTCTCTGTCACTTTACAACGCCAGTTTGAATGTCATCTCCTTGGCGAGGCCC